CTCTCTGCAGGATGACTGGAGGGCGCTAAGGCCTCAGTCCGTGGCACGGGGGAAAACGAAGCCTCCCCTCGCCCCAGTCCCCAAAGAATGTTCGGACGGAAACTCCTTAGTACTTCTTGGAAGGGCTCTGAAAACCTTTCTTGAGGGTAAGCGGCTCTAATCTGGGCTGTCCTCAGACTGATTGCTAAAAGCTTAACTTTTAGAGGGCTAAATGGAAACCCACTAAGCCAACTAAAAAGCTCAAACGCCAAGGGGATGGCTAGGAACCACCATGTAATGTGTCTTTGCAGAACGAGTCATCCAACACAATGCCCCGGAACTGTCCAAAGAGTGCAAAAGCCAGCACGTCCACGGCTGTCGCTGCCCATCAGTCGCTACCAGAAGACTTCCGCGAGATATGCGGATGCGTCTCAGAAGAAAAGTAGACCGATAGAATCATGCAACGACCAACTGAGGAAAGGTACAAAGAGACCGGCAGAAAAGTAAAAAGATGGTTTATAAGTCCACGCATATCTTGATAGCTCAAGAGTTCTGCGGCCGCTTGAAACATGCAGCCTTGTAAGATCTTTGGTAGCTTCCTCGGATCTCAAGCTTTTGATATATGAACTCAGGGAACCGCTGTCCTTTTGCTCGAAGCATCCAAGCCTTCGGTATCTCATCTTGTCGCTCACGACCTGTTTGAAAAATTGGTTGAACCGCTCCGTGCAAACCAACAGCCGCTAGCGAGGGGCCAGCATTTCAAGGTATGGTATGGTGGACAATGGTGGACCAAAGTTGGGTTCCTGTGACAACTTTGTCGTTCTAAGGGTGATTCCATCAGCATCAGAAAAAACGGCCCGGGAACCAAGTTTTCCACAACCACGGACCGGGGCCAACACAGTTTGTTGCTTCTTGGCCGGCGGAGAGCAGTTCCAAAGTGTGAAGCTCAAAATAGCAGTTCCAATTTCTGGGGCGCCAGGGGGGAGATGGACACCAAAAGTAGCACCCCGAAGAGCTCAAATGTCCAATGGTGCAACAAATCAGGTCCATCAGAATAGAAACAAACTCGAGTGGCACAGATGCACCACATGGTCTCGGCCTCTCGCTGAGCACGAAGGGAAACCAAGCTGTACGCATGGAAAAGCTGTGGTGAAAGCTTCGAGATCAAACTGACCTCTCAGAGACTCTTCTTACCACTTTCTCTCAGTTCAGCTCAGGAATGGGATTCTTCCCACCCCTGACCGTCAGAAAGCTTTGCTCCTAGCCCCTACCCAATTCAACTGAAAGCAAAAAACAACAACGCGTAGCAACACTGAAGGTATGAACAGTCTCGCTCAAGTCAAGCTCCAAAGAGCGGAAGGCAGAGGGGGAGTGAGCCGGAGACGGAAGTCAATTTGTCTACTATTTTTGGTGAATGAGCGCTTTACAATTCATGGCCTTGAAAACCGCTGCGTCTGAAACTCATAGTGCTCTGGGCGTTAATCCACATCAGCCCAAACCATCCAAGGCGGCCAAATGGTTGCTTGCTTGACCCCTGCGTATAGTTTCTTGCGCGGAACGAAACCATGTTCGAACACATCTTAACGATTCCAATTCCCTTACAAAGGGCTGAGCCAGGATCCCTAAGAGGACTCTTCTTGAGTGTGAACAACCATGGCTCAGACGATCCACGCTCCACGCGAGAACACTGGCGCAAGAACCCTCCCTCTCTGCATGGCTTCAGCTATTTTGGCGCAAGGCCGGCACTCAGCCGCGCCAAGCGCGCAGCACGAAAAAAACAATTCCTACGCCTGGATTGGGAGGCCCTACTGCCAACTGCAGCGAGAAATTGGAGTCCTGAGTTGAAAGGCGGACCGTGCTGTTCATATTTTTCATCTTGGCCCAGGACCAGTTGTGTCGGTGCGCTCTCAGCAGGCCATCAACATGTTTTGTTCGGCATGTGAGAAGACCATTCCCAAAAGTCTTGAACTTGGGTGCCGTGGCATGAGGTCATCACGCTCGCCTAAGCAAGCCGGTGGATGTGCAGCTCTGTGCTACCTATGGCGATCCCGCTTCCCAAGCCAGGAGGACTGAAACTGGCATTCCGCCGCGCAGGGCATCTATGTACAGATGCGCCCTGAAACCTTGCGCCCAAGTTGCATTTGGTCTCTGAAGACGTGCAGCTTATCATGGGTTACCAAATGTCAGACTTGCCCGCTGGCGGCTGTCTTGTTTGGGTTCAACTCCCTTGGCAAAAAGCACTAACAACCCCTGCCCCAGTTCCAACAAAATGAGACACCACCGTGACCCATGAAGCCGATCAGTCTGGAGGCGTGTGTTTGGACGGGCGCGTTTGCTTGGAGGGGTGCCTGGGACGGAAATCCCCCAGGCGCCTGGCTTGGAGCCGTTCCAAATGTTACCTGACGGCGGGCTCGTTGCATCAGTCACTGCTACAACGCTCCTCCGTGTCAAGATATTGCGACTGTTCAGTGGACTATTGCGACGTGTCAAATGCCATTTGGTAGGGCGAATTCCACGGGGGAGCCATCTGATGCCACCGGATTGACGTTAAGCTTTGTAAGCGTTCACTTGTCCTTTTCACGTGGCGCCTTCTGGATTGGCCCCATTCCTGGCTGATAGTGGCGCCACTAGCAGCCACTAGCAATTTGATTGAACATCGATGGGCCCTAGAAGGTACATACTAGTTCGGAAGGTTCTGAGGGAGACGCAAGACGTCTCCTTCACAGCTCAGCCCCAGCCCTCCAACTTCCAGCCCCAGCACCCACGCTCACGCACCTGATGCCCCACAATCTTGCTTCCACCACCGCGCCACGCTGTGGTGGACACGCAGCTAGGTGCCAAGTGCAGCTGAGGAACGTTGACCGCGTCCTAGAAACTGACGCTGCTTTTCTTGCCATTCTGAAATCTGGGGCTCGCTCGAGTAATTACGAGTTCCTGGCAATCACTTGCGCTGCAGCTCACCAGACTGCAAACCAGCCCTGGCATCATTTGCTCAAGCCCTCATTGCTCTCATGGTTCTTTTGAGCCTGGCCGAGGAGGCAGAGCGCAGCGATTACAATTCCTTATGTTGAGCTCTTTCACTTATAAGTGTGTATATATATATATAAAACAAGGGCGCCAAAGGATCTCGTGAATCCGCTCAAGTCTGGGGATCATATCAGCTTTCGGCGCAAAGAACATACCGAGCTACCAGCGGGGACAGCGCACCCGCATCAAGGTGTCTGTTGCGCTTCGCTCTCAGCAGGGCGCGGGTCTGCTTTCCACTGACCTCTTGGTGGTGTTCGCATGCATCTCTTCCTCACACGGATTGTCACAGTCTCGGTCAAAACTACTTGTTTTCCGATTAGAAGGACATTGGGCTAATTTCCTGGTTTGTAGGAAATTGGGTTGTACATCCAAAACCAAAAATCATGTCGGCTACACAGGTGTTTGTCCTCAGATCCTCATGGGCCTCAGTATGTGAAAAACAAAACAAAAAACCGCAAAGATTGTGTTAGATCTTCTCAAAGACTGCACCGCCCCACCCCCGCCCCTCTGCACACAAACACAAACACGCGTACACACACACACACACACACATAAGACCGACGATGTTGCTGTGGGTCAAAAATAAGTAGTAAATGGACACAGGGACTGGAACCTGTGGTCCCACAGTGGTTTAATTTTGACCCATACCCATGTGATTATGGCAGACCAGGAAGCCCCGTATGAACCAAGGAGAACCATTGGCATGAGCCCCTAGCTTGTGGCAACCGGCTGACATGCAGGTGTGCGCCGGGTTCTAAGGGAGGGTTTGCTCTTTTTGTACCAAGGGGTGGGGGGGAATGGTTCCGTCCACGCTGTGGTCTCAGGTCACGCAGCTATGCTTGTCAATGTAAGCCACACTTCTCCGACGGTTTTGGAGGATGATAGGCATGCTGCATGCCCCGTCAGAGTACCCGCGAATGTGGCTGGTGCGGGCGAAATGGCCATGATCAAAGAAAATGCTCTTTAGCATGTGGCAAATGGATTCTTTTAACAATCCGGTGCGGCTTTCCATGCCTACCGCTTACCCAATGAAGACAACAGCAAAGGCTCTCGAGGTTTGCCACGGGTTTTGCAATTGGCCACATAAAATGCCTACGACAGTGGAGCCACTAGAGAGAACTGCTGCCAGAGCGACATGAGGACTTCTATACCGCATCCTTCGTGAGCAGTCGTTCAGGTGGCAACTTCAGGCCAACACGTGGCCAATTCCCAGTACCAACGAAGGCATATGGAAGTCTGCAGGCCGTAAATAATGTGTAAATAATAACCATTGTCCGATTCAAAGAGGCATGATCGCGTGCAATTACGCCTCTGTGAACCTGATATTTGTGTTTCTTATACAATAGCCCGTCAATGCCTTTCTCGAGCTCTCCTATGCGTCATGCTGGCAACAGTCGTGCTGATGTTTCGCTTGTGAAGATCTGAATCTGATCTAATGTTGCCCCGCGGCCTACTAGCGTGCTTTATGCAAAAACATGACACACGGGTGGCCTCTTGGTCTCCCTTGAAACCGTCCAAAAGAACATCCTTGTTTGGAAACACTCGTGACTTCCCTTCCGAAAACGCCAGTCAACCCGCCGTGTTTGATCCACTGTTAGACGCATTGACCACCCAAGTCCGAGCAGCTGTGATAGTGTCCACCGACTCAATCACCTCGAACATGCCCAAATCTTTGGGTGTCTTGTAGGGGTCGAGGTCCTCATCCATCACCTGCAAAGCTGAATGGGGTTTTAGCGGAGGAAAATCAAGTTGGAACGGATGGGTTTCGAGACGCAACGCGTATTTGCGACCGCGCAAAAAGATGCTTGAGATCCAGCAACTTGTGGCTACCGGAGTCTTTCTTTGAGGGCACCCTTTGTGGGGTGGTTCAGAGAAAAAACCAACAGAAAAACCGCCATTTCGGGGGCCCCTAAAAAGACACACCCAAAACACAATCCAACGTGCCAAAACGTGCAGCCATCAGAGCACAAAACTGACAATGTCCAAAATTCCCGAGCATCCTGCCATAGCAAGTCGCTAAAAACTA